AGTAAGTATTTTATCATAATATTAATGGAATTCAAACCGGTACACCCACAATAAATGAGGATCTCATGAGACCCGCTACTGATATACTCATTGGTTAAAACTCAGAAGTGTCTTGGGGTGTCACATTGTTCGATGGAGGACGCCATGCCCTACTTGTGTCAAAATATTATGTGGCCTTTTACCCAGTGTACTTCGGTACTTAGACTTTGCTTTTGCAGTGTCTTCCGTGAGTGATTGAGACGGGTTCATCGCTGTTTCGAAATACATATTAGTCATTTGAGGGTGCGTCAGTTCTATTCGGGAGGAAAGTCCGGCGTTTAGCACTTAAAAATATATAAAAATTCACCTTTCTTGACGAACTAAGAATCACAATCAGAGCGAATAACAGTCAAGCGTGACTAAACCACGCACCTCTGCACAGAGAATTACAGAGCATTAGACGGCTGGGTCACCTGTGTATCCTTCTGTTTATTAAACACAGCTTTCATTTTGTATTTTGGTGTAAAAATGTGTAAGTATTTTTTTATATCATGTTGCATTGTTTTAAAGTTTAGTATTGCTGGTTAATGTAATGGAATGTTTCTACGTATTCGTTTGAATTATTAGCTTGTGTTGATTTTGTTCATTTCTATCATAATTGTTCGTAAGTATGATCATTTGCCAGTATTTGATAGAATTGCAATCACACTTTAGTGGTGAATGTTAGGATGATTTAATATAATAATTGTTAGTGCATTTAAGGGGGCACAGCATCCCCTTTCTCGTGGATTTCAGCAACGTGGTAAATGCCTAAGATCTGCATCACTTCAACCTGTTCTCCCAGATCAAGCTGTCACGCCGTGATGTTACTGAAACACATTTCAAAAGCGGCGTTAAACCCCACTCACTCACTCAATCGAACACTCAATAGTATACTTCTGAGAACTGTTAGTATACTTGTAGAAAAAAAGTAACTGTGCTTCATAAAAAGTTGTGTAAATGGGATGTTATTGAAAATTACAACATAAGCTTTAGTCATTTGTTGAGCAATGCTTTATCATAAAAAAAATCAATGACAAAATTCGTACCTGGAAACATGAGACAGAGCGACACGCCCTAAAAGTGGGGTGGTGTAACAACGCGTTTGACCACCGTTTGCGTTGATACATGCGCGTCAGCATTGAAGACACAAGATGGTTGAAAACTTGAGGATGTTATTTCAAGTCAAAACCAACGATTGAGTCCAACTGTGCAAGCGTTAACGTCTGGTTCTGGTCCTGTCGTAGATGTCGCTCTATCTCATCCTAGACATCGTCAATGGGGGAGAGGTCTGGAGAAATAGTCGGCCATGACAGTACAGTAATCATAATGTTATGTTTTTACAACCCGTGTTATTTGTGACGAGTGACGACGTCACCCCTCACCATGACACTTTCACCACCCAACTAACGACGTTGAGAAACGCAAATGTCGCTGAAACATTCCCCTTGGCGCCTGTAGATCTTACGCTACCAACCGAGCTGTACAGATGAAACCTGTATATTGTCCCAGCCTTGCCTTCTAAACCTCAGTTGCTGTCTACACCAAACTGGGCGTTCCTGGCGGTGACATGGAAGCACAATTAGGCGTTTCGCTGGACGTTTTCGCCGGATGTTGTGCTCCCTCAACCGGTTGCGTACGGTCGTGCCACTAATTGGTCTCAACCCATGAATTGCCCGACCTGTTCATGTGACAGTTAACTTTGGTATCGGTTCCGTAGATGCACCAACCGGATATGGTTGTCTTGGCCGGACGTGACGGCACACGTGGACGACCGACCGAGCCAAGTCATGAGTGTTGCTCTGCTGTAGATAACGTCCTCAAAGAGCTAATATTTTGTTTCTATGGCAGCTTCGTTTTGTACCATTCAGCTAACCCGTAGCATTGCGCAAGCGTTGTTTACGGTTAATTAAAAGTGTATGAGCATGTCTTAGCCAAACAATCACTGTATGCTGTTAACATTCACAAACCACGTGTGTGAGTATCATTCACCCAACAAAAACGCAAACTTTAAAAGTTTGCACCGTACATTAACATCAACTTTATTTGAAGCGCACTAACTTTTTCTGTAAGCTTATGTTTCAATATAGGTTGCACAGTGTAGTTCAAAGTCAATGTCAGTATTGCAAGTGAGTTGGTATGGTTTGACGCCGCTTTTAGAAATATTCCAGAAATCTCACGGCGAGGACACCAGAAATGGGCTTCACAAAATGTACCCTTCTAGGGAATCGAACCCAGGTCTCCGGCGTGACGAGCTAACGCTTACCTACCAGGCTACCCCTACTGTCCCAGTTTTACTAGTATATATTATTATTCTAAGACACTAACGCCTTTGCCGTTATTCGCCTGGGGATATAGTCAAAGAATCCGGTAACGTACACATAACTGCATAATTATGGTGCCTTAAGTCTAGACTAGCTGCAATAGAAAGCAAGTACATAACAACTGCACACATGTTGCGATAAAAAAACCCAATCTATTAAGAGAACATTGCCTCCAGGAACACTCATGGAACACATTTGACAGAATACCTGATCATTAAGGTTACATGGACGATTCTCCAACATCCTATCTGTCTTATTGTCACTGAATTTATAGTCACAATCTCCGAACTTCAGGACACTCCAGAAATGGCCAAACACCACTACGAAACATCTGGTATCATGACTGTTCGATACTAGTTCACAGACATGATATTCTCAAAACCGCACACTCGACTCTGCTTTTGGCAGATATTTCTTATGAATATGCAAATGAACTTGTCGCTTTTATTTACACATTTTTCCAGGTTTGGAATCGAACCCTGAGAGTCGGTGTGACGAAGCACTAGGTTGACCCACCTGAATGACATACATATAAGATGTAAGCCACCTCGGCCCTTTTCTTAGGTAATTTCACAAAGCCAATGATTAAACACATATTCGTGTAAAACTCTTTTTCGAGAACCTGTTTCAAATTTAGCAACACTGACGTTTTTGACCCAGTCAATCACGAATGGAGATAATTCGGACTGATAAAAGGCATACCCCAACAGAACAAAGCGTATTACATACCCTGCCTCCATCCTAGTACATCCCTTATAAATTCCCCGTTGCCATGGATTCTCATTGACGATACATAAGTTGCTAAATTTGCATCATTGCTTCCGGTGATAGATCGAAATGTGAGGATCGTGATTCATCCAGGCATCGGCTCTAACACGAGCTCCTGCCTGGATAGGTATGACAGGCCATCTACACCTTCAACAACATGGCATCTGATTTGTTACTAGTCATACAGAGTAGGTAAAAGAGGTTTTGATTCATTAAAATATATGTTTGTTTGTTTAACGCTGCAGTCAGTGACATTCCTCTTATGTGAAGGACCTGTGAAGATCCGGGGTAGATCAGTAACCCATGCATGCCATGGACGACTATGCTTGTCATAAGAGGCGACTGACGGGATCGGGTGGTCAGGCTCGCTGACTTGGTTGATGCATGTCATCGTATCCCAATTGCGTGGATCGATGCTCATGATGTCAATCACTGGGTTGTCTGGTTCAGACACGATTATTTACAGACCGCCGTCATATAGCTGGAATATTGCTGAGCTCGGCTTTCAACAACAAACCAACAAAACGTGTATGAAGGTGGCTAGTGAATAATCCAGGCAGGTTACACACAAGGCAGTGATTGATATTATACGCAACGATCCACACCACAATGAAAAAAGGTATTCAGCCAAGTCACCGAGTCTGACAACACGATCCATGAAGTCGCCTCTTACGATCAGCAGAGGTTGATGGGTACCTATTACTAACCGGATTACATCATTTAAAAATATATACTTGGTATAATTTACCAAATATGCCACTGAAATATATTTACTCTAAAGTACATCTCGTGTATTTCTCACTGAACATATTCCCGTCTGCCTGACAGTTTAATGCACCGCTGATATAAATGGAAATCATCCCGGTTCTTGTGCCTTAACGGAATAGCTTTTAGCTTATAATCACCTTTGATTCCATAAGGGCAAAATAAGTGCTTAAAAGCACTGTCATCTTTTGGGAATTGTTTCAGAGTAGAGAATAATATCCTGTGATTTGAATAGTATAAAAACGTCTTTGAAGCCAAACCTGTTTATCAAATGAAGTATATTTAATCTTGTTTTGTAAACGAACAACAAACTTGTCTCGACTGGAAGGTATCTGTACATATATCAAAACAATTGACATATTAGCAGATTATGGAACTGGTACCAACAAACCCACAATAATGACGATCGTCCAGCGCGCCCCAGGTCAACGACAAGAGTACAGGATCGATCGATTCGAATGCATGCGCTACGAAAGAGGTCAAACTGCGAATCACATTTATCAGTTACGGGTCACACGATTAGAAATCATCTTCATGCATCTCATCTCCATGCTCGACAACCACATGTTGTGCCGCCCCTTACAAATCGTCATATTGCCAACAGATGCCATTGGTGTACACGACGTCGAAACTGGGGTAATCGTCGCTGGTCACAGGGCATGTTTTCAGGTGAGTCCCAATTCACTTTGCATTTCCTTGATAGGCTTGGTCGAGTCGGGGCGGTGGGGTAGCCTAGTGGTTAAAGCGTTCGCCCGTCACGCCGAAGACCCGGGTTCGATTCCCGACATGGGAACATTGTGTGAAGCCAATTTCCGGTGTCCCCCGCCGTGATATTGCTGAAATATTGCTAAAAGCGGCGTAAAACCATAATCACTCACTCACTTGGTCGAGTCTGGCGACGTCGAAACGAAAATTAAACCAATGTCAACCTGATACTTCATGGTGGATTTCGCTTCGGATCGGTTATGATGTGGGGTTACATTACTATGGCTGAGCGAACCCCATTTCATATTGTGCAAGGAAGGGTCACTGGACAGTATTATCTTGGCAACATACAGACACCATTGTGTGTCCCTTTTTTCTTGGCCGACGTTTTGTTTTCTAGACGGCAACGTCGGTGCTCACCGTGCACGTCTCGTCAATGCTCACCTCCAGCAGCACAACATCCATAGAGGATGCCATGGCGAGGATCATTTCCCCACTGCACACGTCTGGGACATGATAGGGAGTCGTGTGCGTCAACGTCATGGGCCGCCGACCACGTTCGCTGAACTCGGTACAAGGGGAGTGGGACAGACTCCCTCATACCGCCGATAGGAGACTCATACCAAGTATGCAGTACGCAGTATGCCTCCTCGAGTGAATGAATGCTTGAGAAATCGTGGCGGTACGCACTACTGATCCAAAAATGTCAACTTTGAGTTTTCCAATCTGACCTCTTCTGGTCCTTCAAGATTGTTGGCGGTCATAACATCTACCGTCATGCTTGACTATCGGTTGTAATGTGTTCCCAAATCGTTTATTATTATCATACACCTATTACTAGAAACTAATATATTATTATTATTCCCTACTTTTGTAAGGCTATATGTAGGTTTGTCACAGCTGTAAGGTCGCGTAACATCTTTACTTCCTTTTTCCACAACATTTTACTAATTCGGTTTTTATTTTGGTGAGATCAATTTATGGGTCGTACACGTGGAGCCTGTAGCTGTTTCTCGTGTGTTTTGCATGTATACACCTACAAAATGATTAATAATTTTCTCAAGAATTAACACACTTACATTTTGAAATCATTATGTTTTCTTTAAGGTCCGTGTGCGGTTAAATATCTCTGAAGTTAAATGCTATAAATTTTATTTTATGTAACATTAACACGATGAGTGATTTGACTGTACGCCTTAATAGTACAGTTTTAATTTGGCGAGATACTTCATATGTGGTGTAGTCCAATAGAATGTAACACTGACCTATTTTCAACTGGACAGTTACTTTACTTTAGTATATCATCAAGATTATATAAATACCTATCAAAGTTAAGTACTTTGAATACCGACCAGTGGACACTCTGAATGTTGTTTTAACAGTGTACAGATATCCTGAAACAAATATTGATGCTGCCAGATAAAAACATTGGCCTTTAATGTCTCATACACGAGTATTCCTTTTTCCAATCCAAAATTCGTTGACTCTTTATACATAATGCTTTGACGCAGTGATGATAGTATAATTGTGACATGTCGATTCCCAAATTGAAACAAAACAAATGAAATGAATTCAAGTATCTTACCCTACTAAATTTTTCTTTTTCAAATTCTAATCACTTTAAAGCCACAACAACAGTATTTTCTTCAATCAACATGTCTTCCGCACTTTCCACACAGTGCTAGACCAGTCCAGTGTCACCAGAGCTTCACAGAATATTCCACATGTTTCTGTAACGCCTGACATCCATCAATGCAACTAATCATTGTTCAAGTACACAACAATGAACTTCTACTGAATATCAACAGAAACAATGTAATACAGGTACAGTTACAATCATTGTTTAACAATAAATTACACTGCCATATCGCAGTATCATTGCGAATAAACCAATTTATGTAAATCTACTTTACATCAGCGTGTCTCCAATTTCGTAACACTATGCTCTGAGTTGAAGTTGTTGACAGCGAACGTTAATTAATCGCGTTTGGAGAAAATTCGGACTAACGAAAGTATAACTCGAGAGAACAAAGCATAATGCATACTCTGCGTCCGTCTTAATATGGCAAACCCGATATAAGCCAGAAATAGATTTCCCGTTGCCATGGTTCTGATTTATTTAACGATACATAAGTAGATGATTTTGCATCATCGCTTCCAGTGCTTCGTCTTAAAATAAGGATCGCGTTTCCTCCAGGGTAGCAAGCTCCTCTCAAAGCATGTTTGGCATGGTGTAAATGCCAGCAAGAACGTAACTATAGCTGGCCAAATTAGCTTGTTCCTTACTTAATGACAAAGGGTCGCTGTTCTTCACATCAACATTGCCCCATCAAGGCCGAACCCAACAGGGCCTCGCAGCGACAGGGCGCAAAAATAGGTACATAAAAAAATCAATGTCACAGAAAAATACTCTCGATTACTGACGAAACATATTCCATTGGGCGTAATGAACGTTACTCAATCGACAAGACCGTCTATACCTTCAATAACAGGTCCTCGCAGCGGCGTTGCTCGCTTTGTAAATATACACTCAGTGAAAATAGGTAAATAAAAAACGTGAACGCCAAAGAAAAACATTGTTTATACGACAAAACAGATTCCATTAGGCGATAAAGGCAAAAATAGCTGTGATAACTGTATGAATGGATCACTGCCAATCAGTGATGATACCACGTGTTCGTGAATAAAGTAAGGTTGTCCTGCACTAGAGTGAGTGAGTTCAAATTTAACGTTGCTTCGGCATTATTTCAGCCATATAGCGACCCTACCATAGACATATGACATTTGATTCATTTGTGTGTTTGTTTGTTTGTTTGTTATGACGTCAGCTTGTACATAATCGAGGCAATCCAGCGATTGACATTAGATGCAAAAACACTCGCCGTCATACCGAGCCTGACCAACCGATCCATTATGGGAACCATTTCATGTGTTAATGCTTTTACGGAATGGCTTTTAGCTTTTAATGAGGTTTTATTCCACAAGAGAAAAACAAGTGTTATGACACAGCCGGCTTCTAGGAATTCGTTCAGGCCTGAGAAAAATATCAGCAATATTCCAGCTAAATGACGGCGGATACAATATCATGTGATTTAAATACTTTGGAAACGTCTTTGAAGACAAACCTACTATTTAAAAGAAGTATATTTAAGTTGTCTCGATTGGAAGGTTCGTGTCAGCACCGACGATCTTCGCATCTTGAAGTATCGTGTTCCATGATGTTCATTGCGATCATCAAGAAGCATTTTGTTTCTTGGCTGAACTGTTGGTGATGACTATTTGAGGAATTCTGCCCATGGACATGGAATAGCTCATGAAATAATTCAAAATATATTTACTCTTAGAGGGAGCATTGATTTGTCGGCGTGTATAATGATATGAAATGTAAGTTACAGAATACAACTAAATCAATGGCGATGTTGGTTATGTTGGTTCTTCTGTCGTTGCTCTTAGTTACACAACGCCGATATCAAGGTTGGAATCTGATTGTAATTCACTTGTAAATGTTAACAAAAGGACATGAGACATATTGTTACGTCGTGTCTACAAAGTTTTGAGTATGAGTGGAATATGATCCATTTCTGCCGTCTCCACTTCTGTTTGATATCGATTGTGAATATTTCTCTCGCGAAGGACGACACAACTCATTAACTTTCAAGCAATAATCTTAGTCTTCAAAGATGGTTGACATTATCGACCCCTGATCATAGTCTTTAAACCTGCCTCCGTGCTGCCATCGTTACGATCGTCAGCCTTGTGAAGTAATATCCTTTCGAAATCTCTTAATTTGAAAATATTCACAATCAACAAAATATGTGGTGCCATCCAAAAGACATTTGAATAATGGCTAAAGGAAATGTGTTGCTCATACAGTGTTTAAAGCCAGACTAACGTGCTGACGTCACGAAGTATGATGCGCCTTCTGGCACCATTGTGTGGTATCTGAGGTATGGTTTACATCAAATATTGTAAGTTGATCCGTCCGAATAATGCAGGAACAATTAACATTGCTTTGACATTGACATCAAAGCAACGGCGAACCAGATTACACACGTTAAGACATTTGACAATCAATGTCTACTTTAGGAATGCAATTTAAGCGTCTGAATCAAGTTTGCTACAATATGGAAAACCTATAAGAATTGCAAGAACTTTTTTTAAAATGATACTATCTTCGCCATTCAAATTTTAAAAGACAGTGTTAAAACATGAAACTCCTACTCGATACCTCTGGTGGACCAATCCAATTCTAGAATGTAATGGTAGAATGAATAAAGTGGTTTTCTACCAGTAGAACCGACTTACCTATAGCTAGACAGCAGAATGCAGGGAAACTCAGCTATAAAATTAGAGTTGTTTTTTCATAGAATATATTATTAAACACAATGCAAAATTCATGTAGCCAACCAATCGTACAATGGACTTTCTCGTGGGTTTCAGTAAAGTGGTAAATGCGTTAGTCCTCCATCACTTTAGGCTTTCTTCCCACAGCAGGCTGACACGCCGTGATATTACTGAAACACCGTTTAAACCTAAAAAACGAACGAGCACAATTTTGCTTGTTAATACGTTTGAAAATTGTAAGTACACTTCAGTATTGCTTGTACTGTGTACATCATAGTCAATGTTAGTACTGCTAGTGTGTGAGTGAGTGAGTGAGTATGGCTTTACGTCGCTTTTAGCAATATTTCAGCAATATCACGGCGGGGGACACCAGCAAAATCACACATTTACCCATCTTGGGAATCGAAAACGGTTATTCCGCTAACGCTTTAACCTCCAGGCTATGCCACCAACTCTGTATTGCCAGTGTATATGTCCTTTCCAAGACACCAACGCCTTTGTTGTTTATTCCGTTAAGAAGTTAATCTGGTAATCCGGTTACATGTATAATTTACACAATATATGGTGCTTCAAACTCGCCTAGCTGTAGTCGAACGAATGTACATAACAGCAGACATCTATTCACCAGCAAACAACCCCATTGCTTTTGGAACACAATAGAACAACCAGTGATTTGCGTAATTCAGAAAAGGTCACACTGAAACTGCAACGCTCTAACGGTCTCACTATAAACAGTAACTGACATTTATAGTTAGAATCATCCTCTCATCCGAGTACTTGCAACCCAGGTGATGCTAACATATCAATCAATTATCCTCATCCACGCAGTGCTGTTGACAGATGGCACATGTACTGCGGGCTGGTGACGCGCTTCCTGTAATAGCCACGGTTTGCTTTCATCAGGGAATCTCAGCGGACCAGTGGGTCTCCCGTCACACAATGCCCCATGATATTCATCTGATTGCTATTGACTGACGTTCTGGCTCGTTACATGTTACTGTATAGGATACAGAACATGATCTGCGTGGAAAGTCGACAGGTTCTCTGTGTAACCGCACTCTCGTGATGATATACATACAGACAATAGGTTACAAACTATTTTGTCAACAACACATATTGGATATATCGCTTATCTACTCATGACATTATGAAATTGAGATTATGCTCTGGCTAATCGAAGATGATAGAACATATTGTGCGTGGATAGTCGCCACGTCTTCTAGGTAACATATTTTGTAAATATCGTTTCATTTTAAACATCTTTCTTCTCGATATACATTGAAACCATGACAGCCGGGACATCCTTTCAGGGCGATAATGGTTGTCAAAGCCTTATGTCCAGTGGAATCAGTTTCGTCGGATAATCGAGAACTGGTTATTCTTTGGCGTTGGTGTTATCACTGAATAATAAACCATTAATCATAACACTTGGTAATCAGGACAGTTTCAAAGGAAAGGTGTCGGATCAAGCAGGTTTCACTTTATTGATAATGACTGTGTACATTTGAGTATTTAATGAAGATAATGCGTCCAGCAATAATACAAGCCTAAAAAACAACAACAATGACACCAAGTGTTATTAGTTCGTTTGTGAATGTAATGGGTAAATGAGTATTCCAACAAATGGGGACACAAGAAATGGGGTTCCCACATTGTACCCATTTAACATTAGGGAAATCGAAACCCGTGACGTTTTACCACCAAGTTAAACCTATTCGCCCTGTAGGTAACACAAGTCTGTTTTCTCGTATATGGCTCTTTGTCATTTATTTTCAGATCTGAAGTAATTTCACAAAAAGAGTGGTTAAACCGTTATCAACCTGAACGTGTTAAATTCAATATAACTTTATATATATATATTTCTGATATTCTCCACTTTCCTAACATGAATACGTCTGTTACTTTTCAGATGGGTGCGCAATTAAAGTTTGCTCTTTCATCACTCTCTTATTGACATTTTTATCGCCATCTGATGCCAATCAAAACCTAACTTGCAACTACAAACTTGGTTACATGAAGAAATTCATACTTGATTACTTCCCTTGAAGACATAGCCGACGGCAGCTGAGAATCCCCTCAACTAAAAGTCACCACAACACACGGACGTCTCCAAATCGATATCGGTAGAGGGCGCTGCGACAAACTAACCTTTCCACGACCTACTATCTGTGACGTCACAACCTCTCAGCACGGCGAATGACGCGTCGCCCGATGCTGTAGCAGACGACACATGGGCACGATGAGTGGTTTGTGCGCCGTTCATCGCTGAAGTGTAGGTTACAGTGAAAACATCTCCCTTTTGGATGTTGAGTGTAGATCTACGGACATCTATGTCTAACAATGGATGCCAGAAAGTTCCAAAGGTACGTAACGTGATTGGAAAGCTGAAAACACTGCCCCGACATCATCCCCGGTGCAGCTATAACTCAACTATTGGTTTGGTCTGCTATGCGTTTCTATGTTTTGGTGCACGAAGTGTGAATATGAAGGTATAACTTCGTTCTAATGCATGCATATCAGGACAAAATGTGTATTTGTTACTTCATTCTGACAAAATCATATTCCCAGAACGCCAATGTATACAATGTTTCCAGCTTATGACTTATTGGCCTCGCGAAGCGTAAATATTAAAATATTGTATTTCGTGATTATGCACTCATGCAGGGACAGTACACGTTTTTTATTTCATACTGAGGAAACCAATTCGCTAGTACTTCCGCTTATACCGTGTATTCAGCTTCTGAGTCAAGGAGCAGTCTTCTACAGTAATCTCATTCTCCGAGATTGCTCACATGTTTTACCCTGCTCCTGAGCATCTGTTTGTTTATGTCATTAAGTTGTATGAGGCATTTGAACCGTTATTGATCTGCGTAGCTTCTTACAGTACACTGAACTCCATTAAACTGTCTGCAAAGTCTCATTATTTCCTTATCGATAACACTGATGTTACCATGGTAATAATTACTTTCAAAGAGACCATCATCTATCTGATCCCATGCTCATACAGTTAGATGAAAGGTATAGCGATGCTCGTTATTTCCAACTGTCCAATCATGTGGTGTTTTGCTCATGCAGGCCGCCGCTTCAGTTATAGCCGTTATTTGACAATGTCAGAAATCAACGATTATCCTCAGGTTATCCTCTGCGCTTGATATACCACGATAACCCGATCCGCTTCCTCAGACGTTATTGATCGACCTCTGGTCCCAGAATACGCCATATGTTGCTAAATGTGACGGAAAAGAGCCTTGAAGCAAATATTGGCACCTCTTGAAACACGGATCTAACACCAACTGCTCAGAGTTTCTTCATATCCATGTATGAGACATCCAAATCTCTTCGACATAGATTTTGGTTGGACCCTTTTCAAACATCATAACATTTCTAATTGACAGTCAGCAAGTGTTCAATATTTCATTTGGCAAGGATTAGGTTTACTGCTCAAGTTAAAGTTTAGCATTTCATTAAAGGTCTGTGTAGAACAACAAATCTGATAATGCAGCTGTAATTGCACGGTCTGATAGAGTAACGACCGCACGCACTTGTTATCAAACCTCGTACTGACAAAATCCAGCCTTTCAAAGACAATCGCATTGGACAGGTGTTTGTCCTGTGTTATCATTATACACAATCAACATCCGATAATGCTAAATAGACCAGCGATACATATCAGATGCCCCGCGGGAGGCAATGAAATATTCATCCTGATTCAACCGTGCCTTTTAAGAACCAGAGCATCCATCACCTGTAATATCTATTGGCTGTGACAAATGACATTAAAGCTTTTTTTCTGATGTACATGGTTGACGATGTCCGAACGTCACTTCAGAGATGACACAGCATGCATGATCATGTAGCACTTAGAAAATGACTTTACAATAATTATCTATTTCTCCACAGGTCCAAGTAAGAACTACCGCAATCATTATAAATTGTAAATAACCGTTTGTTTCTATTCTGCTTCCTTTTCAAATAAACACAATGTGTCCAATGTGATTGACTGTAAAGCAATAACCTTTCATGGCAAGGTTTTTTCCTTAATCGAGGAGAGAGAAAATGAATTGCCTTCAACTTTTTACGAATTTCCTTAGATCAAAATGACATTTAAGTTTTATGTTCCACGTGTGTTCATGATTTTGCCGATGTTTTGTTAATTTATTTAGAACTCATATCGCAATGAATCTTTTTTAAACAATCAAACAAGCAATTACACTGAATAAATTGGAGTTCCTGCATTGCTTATTAGTTACTTTACTTCCACGCTATCCGTGAGGATAAACAGCCTGTAAAGACAAACCTCTGCTTCACGCCATTGCCACATGCTCATGCGGGGATAAAACCCGCTCGTTGACGTGACGAGAAAACAACCTTACCATTTGGCATTTTTTACAGCAAGAAATAAAAGCTATAAAACCATTTCCATAATCATAAGAAATATGTGCTGAAGGCAGACGATTCCGACTCTACAATGGTGTTCGCGAAGAGGTAAACGTATTTGTTTTAATCATACATGAAAATCAATAAAATTCAACATCGGTGTTAACGCATTCCACCCAATAATTTACAATAACAGCTTAGTGATTGTATTTGTCAGTCATGTTTATCTCTGATGCCTCAATAGGCCCTAGTAGGCCATACTGCCGTTCATTCCTGCGTCCTATCACATGGATCTGACGCTGTGATCTCTTTTGTGAGTCCTTAAGCGAGAGGTTTAAACAGTATCGATTTTAAAAGTCTTTGAAAATAGAGGATTTAGACAGTAAGCCAAGCATGCACTGACTTCTGGTTTTAAATGCCACCGAAGTCTAAAAAGTGTTTAAGGAAAAGGGCAGAGTAAGTGGGAGGCCCCCGGATGATGTAGAAACTGTGTGAGTTAGTGAGTAAGTTGGGTTTAACGTCGCACGAAGAGTATTTTAGCTTTATCACGTCATGTCAGCCTGATGTGTGGGAGCCGTAGTGATGAAGGTATCCCGTATTTGTGAAACTCGTGGTATGGTGAAGACAAACCAAGAAACACAATGACGGTGAAGCAGGATTCGAACTCACGATCACAGGTTTCTGGCACTCAACATTGCAAAGAGCGCATTACGACGACTCGCTTAACTGTAGCCCCATATAGAAGGTTGTTTTTAACATAATTAGTTGTGAAGACATTGGTAGTAAGTGTCCACTGAAGGCATCATTGACGGTCAGGAAGGGCTCATATATCTCCTGGATTGACATGAAACGTTTAATACAATTTGACAACATTTACAGTCAGGAAACACGATACTGATTAAACAGTCATACAATGCCAACATTATTGGGGCTGTGTCTCCATGGTATTTGGCTGGTCAACTAAATGAAACGATAAATTGCTTGCCCATGAATCTCATGCTAAACAATATAGGATCTTGATTGCCGAAACATGTCATTATTGGCAGTAGATGAGTGCATTCGGTTCTGATTTAAACGCTGGAAGACGTATTGACGACATGAATCAAAGACGAAACCCTTAAAAGTTCGATCTTCTTGTAAAGTAAATAATAAAGTCGTGATGAATCAAATGGACGCAATACGTGTTCATCGTGGATGACTCGTGTTATATAAATGAAACGTGCCTGTCTGTAACAAAGTCCTGGCGTTATTTTAGACCAACATTAATTTACTCTTGCTATCATCTGCAACTCGAGTAGGCTGAATTATGATTATGACCGTTTCGGCTATAAATCACCCTAGAGTGCTGAAAAGGTGCTTGGATCTTGTTAAATGACGTCCGAGTAAGTTTGGTTCTGGTATTCCAATTACGGGGTGGCAGTGGGTATGTGTGCGTGTATGGGGATATCTGTAGGATTGGGTTTTATTTGACCGCACGTCCGTTCCATTAATATTCATCATTCATCTCCATCAAACCGCTTTATCCAAAACAGTAAATATATTGTTTTATGAATTATGAATAGGTTTGCAAAAGAGCCGTGGATTTTATTATGGATCAAATATTGCAGGTTGGTTTCTGAAACTTAGCATCAATAAATATGTCTTTGTCAATCAATGTCCAATTTCGTTAGTTACGTTTTTCAGGACATATTGTCTCTGAGTGAACTAAGGTCTAATTGTAGCAGGAATTCGATTGCGTGAACACAGAGGTATTTTTAGAAAACAAGACATTTCCCTAATTGCTTGCAAAGGTTATTGTCGTAGACAGTAGAGTGAAATGGGACAAATTACACGCTTGTAGCTACAATACCGAACCTATACAAGCTGCTCAGATGTGGTATAGATTGTCCACGTGGCTTTCCTGGGTGCGACAGGACAAACCATCAGTTTACGAATGCCGAAGCAGATGCAGGCCCACGGTGCTTCAAGTGGCAATTCTTTGTTCCTGGTAGCCATGGTGATGCCATATCTCCAGTTACGTTTTATAATATATAATACGGATTTGTATTAATTCAGAATACATGAACGTAATGTGATCTGTCTTTGAAGCTACCAGGATGGGAAGTTCTAAAGTTCTGAGGATAATGTAGGCTTACTATCCAGTCTAGACAGACATGACATCCTTTTTAAAGCTTCCCCGAATTTGGTCAAACTATCGTTGGAGGAGCGGTAGGATGCTGTCACACAATGGTGAGACGTGCAAGCAACCATCTGGGATTCGTTGTCACCATCTGATCCAGTCAAGTCTAGATCATACGTATTTGTATATTGTAATAGTATGATAGGGTGAATTAGCTTTCCGGTATTTCGATGTTTTGAAGTTTTAATGACTGAAGCTCTGTGGCGTCACTTTGCTCCAATGAGAATAATATGACATGACGTCTCACATAGTTCACAAACTGATAACCTTACGTCGTCTTATTTGTCAGTGTGTTTGTCTGTTTGTTTGTTTGTTGTTTGACGCCGCACTCAGCCGTATTCAAGCTTTATGGATGCAGTCTGTAAATAATCAAGACTGGACCAGACAATCTAGTGACTGACATCATGAGCATCGATCTACGTAATTTGGATACGATGACATTCATCGGTCAAATCAACGAGACTTGATCCCGTTATTCGCCTCTGAGGAAAAGCATCGTATGGAACTTGAAGATGTCACAACTGATTTTATGAGATTTGTATGAATCATTCTTTGAAGTGGATAATTGTTTTATGTCGCCAATAACATGTCAGAAAATTCCTGTTGATCAAGGGAAACCCTCTGTGAATACTTTACAAATACACAGTGCCAAGCTACCAAATTGTTAAGGAACAGATGTATTCATGCATATATGATTAGGGTAATCTTGTGTCAAGATGGTCTCCTATAATGATAGTCTTTATTAGAATAGTCTTGCATAAAGATGTATTTAAATTTAAATTTTGCTCGTTCAGTTCCCCTGACAAT